GAAGCCAAAAAAAAAAAAAAAATAACGAAAAAAAAAAGAGGGGTTGGCCACAAAAGAGATGGAAGACCCAAATAAAAATGTAGTTAAGGAGAAAAAAAAATTGATTTTTTTTTTTTTAATTATTATCATTAAAAAAATTGTGATGTAATTATGTAGGGGGCCGAAGTCGTTGCTGTAAGTTGTGGTGGTTGAGGGGGGGGGGCGGGGGAGAGGGATGGAGGAGAGTGTTTCATTTGTTTACAGGCAAACAGCCGTGTCGGTGGGTGGCGGCGGATCCCTATGAAAAGGGGGAATCCAAAAAGAGAGAGAGAAAAAAAAAAAGGGAAATAAAACGGACGGAGAAGAAGAAAAAAAAAAAAAAGAAAAAGAAATTTCCATCTTCTGCGCGTGTGCGCGTGCGCGCCGGGAGCTCTTTATTTTTTATTTAGTAGAAATTTATTTTATTTTATTTTTGTTTATTTGTTTGATTTTCTCCTTTCTTTCTTTGCCTCCTCGTGTTTTGGTGCACGGTTTGATTGTGAGGGATCATGTCAATACTTGGTTTTGAATGCCATTTACATTTCTTTTTTTTTTTCTTCTTCTTTTGTGGTTTACTGTTGTGCTGTTTTGGGGCCCCAACAGGCCCGCATGTGCACATGTGAATATCTTCCCGCCGGTGTCCGTGCATGCGTCGTTCTTGTCTTTTCACCCGCCGCGGCGAAGGGGGAGAAAAAGAGGGCGGAGCGGGAAAACGCCGTGCTGCTGCCGCCGTCTACCGAGTGGCCGCTGCCTCTTTATTTTTCTTTTTTATTTTTATTTTTGGGTGGCGGTGGTGGCGGATCCCTCCCCCTTTTCGCTCGGGCCGCCGCTGGGGCCACAGCAAAGTGGTGGTTTGCCCGGGCAGGCCGGAACGGACGCACCGCGCAACGACGGGAGGAGAAAAATCAAAAAAAAAAAAAAAAGAGAAGAAAAAAAGAAAAACAACATGAGGAGATAATGAAAAAAGAAAGAAGGAAAGGAAAAAACGAAAGTGAGGGCGGGTGGCTTATTTAATTACGACCAGCGGGGCCCTGGGATACTGGCGGCATCAGCAGAGTTTTATTATTTACGTATTTTTTTTGTTTTCTTCTTTTTATTATTTTTCTTTTGGCTGCTTGTTTATTTGTTTCCGATGCTTTGATTTCTGTTTTTTTTTTTCTTTTTTCCCTGCGCAGTGTGTCTCTCCCCCGTCTGATACGAAAGAGTTCACAC